TTTAGATTTTTTATATTCTATTTTGTAATTAGGTAGCGCTTTGGACAATTATTGGATTTTAGCGCTATATAAATAAAATCATTATTTATTATTATTTAATCCGACATCACTGCGTGCTGATAGTCAGTGAATAATTATCCTCAAAACATTCGAACTCGTGACTTTGCGTTTTAGCCAATTCCATGCTCAACGTAATTGACTTCTTACCCATGCCTTACATATCTTTAATCAGTACATGAGACTGGTATGCTGTTTTTGAAGCCTGATGTGACGAAGAAAAATAGAGAATTGTTTTTTAGAAGGATTTGTATGGAGTCATCAGAGCATAACTGGGCTAATATCGCGGAGACAATTTGTCCTGAAATGCTAGTTTTTGGCAAGTAGGCCTCTTGGATGTTGCTCTTTTAAGAATATCCTGACAAATCCCATAATTTCACACCTTACTCTTACCATATTTGATTTCTTACTATTCCTCCGCATTTACAATTAATTAGTTCCACAACCACGACGCCGAAGTGTACGCTAGCTCCGTAGCGTCTTGTTAAATTGCTACAACAAAGGCGGACGTACTTGGCTTTGTTTTTGTAAACTTAGCACGTCAATCTTTTTTTTCTTGTAGCAGCTATATGTCAAGCTAGCGTGATTAGACACGCTAAGCACGCTGCGTGATCAGCGAAATGAACCGCAACTGATAACTGTAGTAGTCAATAAAAACTGAATGTTTTTTAGTTTTTAAACTAGCAATTATTTTGAATGATTGATAAAACAATTATTGAATTCGGCTTTCTATCATCTGAAGAATTATGTAGATCTCCATAATTCTTCAGATGATACGAAAGCCGAATTCAATTATTGCTAACTATAGTATGTTCACGGTATGTGGCCGCGGTTACTTGCAGTGCGTACGTCACCTTCAGGATCTGCGCATAATGCGGGTTTTTCGACTTTCACTTCTCCAACAACACCAGCAATAAACTGAGACCAGGGTAAGAGAAGCCCAAGCAAAACGCCTTTACCACAGCCGTGTGACATCCATTTTATATCCTCGCTTTTAAGGGCTTTGTTAAAGATGTTAACATGGCTTATCAGACCAATGAATTGTCCAACTTGAGGATCTTGTGTTGCCAGATCCTCTGCTAGGCCAACAATAAATTCACCATTTCCTGTGGAACATTAAGTGACAGTAAGATTTTTGGAAGCTTCGTTTACCTTCTTGGAGACTAAAATTTTTGTTTCTTTTTGTCCTTTTTTGACTCGAGCAGAAACCTTTCATCTTTTAACTTTCTACATTCGTACTTTCTCAGTGGTTTCAAAGAAACATTCCAATAATTCAGTTTTTATCGTTAAATATGTATTTACAACTGATTCCAGGTACGAGCGAAGTAGAATAAGGGCGGGTTATTTAGTTTCAAGTTCTACTCAGAGCAACAAAACCATAGCATGGCAGAAGTGCATACCAGGAATAGTTTCCCCCTCAGACAATTTGGTTCCTGAAAATATTGACCAGTCGTTATGTAGAGTGACGTTTCCGCCTTCAGAAGTCCATACCAAACAAATATGATGCCACTTGCCGTTATTTGCTGCTGAGGTAGTTTTGGTCCTAGAAAAAAGACAATATTGTATTTTAATATCGTAGGGGGGAGCGATATTTTATGGAAGATTAAAAACAAACACGATGAACATTTCCCTGCCTGTTAGGAAGAGGCAAAATAAATTGAAATTAAGTACACTTACGGCTTCGACTGCCCTACATAAATGTAGAATCCTCGATAGTCCACAAGTGCAATAGCAGGGACGTATGTCCCGTTAGTGTTATATCGGACTCTGTACCATATGGGAGTCCCTGCACTCGTATTATCGGAAGTCTTCATCCAGAAACAGATCGTGAAAGCATCGAGATCTGGAAGATCAGGTATGTTGACATATCCATTGTGATTTTCAACAAAGTTCAGTTGGTAACTATCGTCCTTCATAAAGCCTATAGAAAGATAACATCGAGATTAAAGTGCTTTACCTATTCACGATGACGATCGCGTTGCATGAACCACAGAAAAATATAGTTTGATATCTAACACCTAGCTTTTTATTACAACACAAATGTACTGAAAATTAAAGGGAATAAAATGTCCCCATTTTTAACTACCTGGTTCTGATATTCTCCCCTTGCTTTGCAAATACGACGTAACTTGCTTGGTAATGGCGGCCGTATCCAGACCCACTGCTTGTTTCCAGGGTGAAACGTTTTGGTTAGAATTTTTCCATCCACATAAACCTTCGCAAAAGTGAAAACATCCAGCGTTTACTAGAAAAGAGTAGAGGACAGAGAGAGAGAGAGAGAGTTGAAAAATTTGACAGCAAGATACGTAATGAAACAGCACCAAAACGTTGATGTAAAATGGATGAATCATGCAATTTGTGGATTGACTGATAATCAATAATCTGTACGTAAAGGAAAAAATAACAACAACAGAAGTAAAAATTGATTGATTGATTGATTGATTGATTTACTCAATTCAATTACACAGATATTCAAAATAATACAATTAAAAGCATAGAGAACCAAATATAATATAAGGGATATCTGTATAATTAGGACAGTTTATACAGAACACGAGGATTCCTCACAAGAATTAATTATAGAACTGCCTAGAACAAACAATAAAATATAAAAAAAACTATATACAGGAATATTCTAATCCCAAATATATATTCATAAAATCTCGTATGCTTTTCATTCTAAAATTTAAATTTCAAACGTTATATGTAACCGTTTTTATCACGCGATCACTTTTCTTGATGTAGACCCTGACGCTTCAGTGTTATAATGGAGTTTAACTGAAGGGTGGGTCACCTTTTCGGTGTCCTACGAAACAGGCTTGTATTAAACACCCATGTACTCAGGATATATATATATATAAATCAAAATGAAATTCATTAACTTTCTTACTAAACAAAGATAACTGATAAGTTATTTGTAGGGCTTTCCAACACAAATGAACGAAGACTACAAAAGATCAGGGTATCATTGTTATTTACCAGTGCGGAAATAGATCAAAAGCAACTCCTTACTAGAAAATCTTGATCCTCTTATTGGGTGGTGCTGGTTCCTTGATTAAGTTCCACTGCACCACAAGTATTCCTAATCCATACCTATACATGCATGTATTGTGTTGTGTATTCTTGTAAACAAAGGGGAACTCACGCGCTTCTTGTGCGCCGACGCTCCGTTATTAACTATTATTGCTAGCAAAACTTTCATACCAACACTCCTGCAAAGGGTAAGAGCTTCTTCCGTCGTAAGCGGTCGCAGAAAGACCATGAGATCTCTCAGGGAACCATGGAGTTTTTCCCTTGTGTCCTTTTTGAAACCAAGCTCATATGTCGTGTGATTTGTCAGGATGAGGTCAATATCTTGACCAGTATAATGTTGTTCTCCTGTGTACACACCATTCAAGTACAACTTTCCAGTACGAGTAGCGCGATTCCAGACAAATACCATGTGTGTCCAGATTTTTGCATGAATGTCTCTAAATTATAATAGAAAATCGATATAGCCCACAATCATTTAAAATTCTTATGCACTTAAAAGTGTCCTACTCGAGAACTAGAATGTACAGCACCATACCACATCACATCGAAATTTCGCAAGGATTAGCCTTTTTTAGCCTTAATTAACTATGCAAATTAAAAAGCAAATAATTCAACCCTTTTTGAGTCTAACAACCATCGACTGGAAGCAAAATCATGACAATAAATGTCTAGTAATTTTTTATGGGCACTCAGCAAAGTTGATGCTGTTTCATCGTCTATCATAATTCCTTACCAGGCCTGGTATTCAAGAACAAGTGGAAAAGAAAAGTCGTGCGAACGCGTTTTTACTAACCTATCGCTAGTCATATTAAGCAAGGTCTGCACTACATCACTTCGTCGCAATTCCACGAATACTTTTCTGTGATTCACATACAGTCTAAAGTGCCCTGGTGATGACCAATCAGAAATGAGATGTCCAAGACGGTGTGAATTGTGGACGTTAAATCGAAGGGCGATTGAAAAGCTGCTCTTCGTGAAATTGATTGCAGGAATTTCTGCATAACCAGATCTTCCGTCAAGGTGCAAAGATTTTATCCCGCCGTCAGTTTGGTATGAAGCAGTACCTTTCAAGCTAAAAGCATATGGAATAATGTTTCTCATATATTCACCAGGCTTGAAATTAACTATTATATATCTATCGTTAAGCATAAGCACAAATAGACATTCTAGTCCTAGCAGTATGCAAGATATTTGGCACATGAGCCTTGTTTAGTGACCGCTTAGTTACCACCAGTGTCCGCCTTAGTAGTAGAGCATCTGGACTAGTAACCAGAATGTCATAGCTTCGATTCCCATTGGGCCGGAGTACTCGGGTTTTTTTCTTCCGAGCCGTCTCTGAGTCACTGATTGAAAGTTAGAATTCTTTGCCAAAGTTTTTAGGACATGACATATTTCGATACTCGGATAAACAATGTGTAATAAATTAGCAACTGCGTTTACATTTCTGTTCTATGCCTATTTTCAAATCTCTGTCTAGCCAACATTTTCTGAATATTCCACATTAAACCCCCAATTTTGTTGATTCTTGTGTAGTATGGGGTTGAAAAACTGTTTACCTATCGGTCCTTTAAATCGAGTGCGTGTTTTTAGTACTAACAATTTAGATCATCGTATTGTACATTCAGTATCGCAAGTTTTAAGTTTGTTATTCACTTGACAGAGGGCTATCATGATCTTGTATTAGGCATACCTTATATTTCCGTCGCTTCCGTCTAGTTTCCAGAAATACTGCGTTTTAAGGAGGTTTTTTCCATATTCTGTACTATTTTCTACGGAAATATCAAAAACATTTAACAAAGTTAAACTGAAATGGCGTACATTAAGAGCTTGATTAACTGGCACATTCCTATGGCAGTGTTTAAGAAACGTTGTACAAAAAGAGATTTTTTAAATTTAGTAATCGACTGGGCGTGCTTTTCATTGGCATCCTTCAGTCTCCAAAGAGTATGGTGCCGCGCTCTGATTAGTGGTTCTCGAACAGCGCCTTGTGTGTCTGGAAAGAATGACAGAATGACAGTCCCTTTTACACTTACAGTAGGCAGATCTGATCAGTTGCTGGCCTATCTCCTTGATTTCGGACCTTACTCGTTTGTCTCTTTGTCTCAGCCTGTTCGGTAGATGTCTTTTCAAACTCAGGGAGACCTTGCTGCAAATGCCTGCCTCCAAGGTGAGCGTCCTGAAGCCAAGGTTTTCCATCCGTTGACGTCAATGCCCAAGGCCTTCAGGTACCTCTTGCAGGCAACTTTATAGGCAGCGTAATTGAGGTCTGCCAGTGGCGCTTTCCGTTAGCCAATTCTCTATAAAGGAGATTCTTTAGGATCGGGCTGTCACCCATTCTCACAACATGGCCGAGCCAGCGCAAACGTCTCTGTTTCAGAAATGTATACATACTGGGAGTTTCAGTTCATGTTCAGTTCGCTCCAGGAATGTGTTGTTTGGAACTCTGTCCTTCCAGGTGATGCTAAGTATGCGTCGGAGACAGCGCGTGTGGAAAGTGTTAAGCTTCCTCTCCCGTCGTGCGTGAAGAATCCAGGACTCGCCGCCGTACAGCAGTGTGCTCAAAACGCAAGCTCTGTAGACCTGGATCTTGGTATTTTCCGTCAGCTTCTTGTTGGACCATACTCTCTTAGTCAGCTTGGAAATGGTAGTAACAGCCTTGCCGATGCGCTTGTGTAGCTCGTACTTCAGAGAAAGAGTATCAGAGATACGAAGTCATTGACAATCTTCAGTTCATGTTTCAAGATTTCAATGTTGGGAAGTGAGTCCACATTCCGAGCCAGAACCCGTGTCTTCTTCAGGCTGATGGTCAGCCCAAAATCTTGGAAGGCCTTCCTGAACCGGTTCATGAGCTGCTGAAGGTCTTCGGTTGAATGGGCGGTGATGGCTGCATCGTAGGCAAAGGGGAAATCAGGCAGACACTTCATTTGGACTTTGCTGTTAGTCTGGAAAGGTTGAAGAGATTTCCGTCTGATATGGTCTGGAGATAGATGCCCTCTGTTGTAACTTCAAAGTCCTGTTTCGGCAGGACAGCGAATAAAATCCGAAATAAGGTCGGTGCTACGACGCAGTCCTGCTTCACTCCACTCCAGATGTCGAAAGGGTCTGATGTTGAGCCGTCAAAGACGAAAGAGACCCCTTCTTGTCTTCTTGAAAGGATCTAATTATGCTGAGCCTGGGTGGACTTCCGATTTTGGGCAGAATCTTGAATAGGCCGTCTCTGCTTACCAGGACAAAAGCCTTCGTGAGGTCTATAAAGGCTGCGAAGAGGGTACTTTTAGGTATTCAAAATTACATTGTAACAGAACAATGCCGTTTGGAAAATATTTAAGGATAAAGATCACAATGCATTGCACTACCGAAAAAATCAGCCGCTCTGAAATTGACCGAGAAGAAGTCTTATTTTCAACTAAGTTGCTTACCGCTGTGAAGTGATGACTCGCACAAATTTGGTCATCGCATCGTAAAAATAACCCAAGCAGTTGTTGATCAAAGGCGTGAATCACATTATCTACTTAAAAATCTTCATTCCCAGTCCACAAATATGAACTATTTCATCAGCTTTAAGTCAGTGACATAATTATACTAAAAGCAACTGACTCTTATGCTATCAGGAACGTGTCTCCCTTTCATATTCCCACCATGCAACTCAATAGGGCTACCACTTTCTAACACTTACCTTGCCAGGGAATTGCTTGACATATTTCGGTTTGAAATGTTATGTCGTCCACGGCGAGGAATTCCGACTTCAAGGAAGTCCGACCTTCAAGAAGGACCTAGTTACATCCCAAAAGTCAAAAATCAAAGAATTTACACTTGTCATGATACTAAAGTGTTTTCTCGGTAAGACAAAAGGCAACGTCAAAGCGTGACATGCAAGTTTCCAAGTCCCTTTTACCGTAACACTTCTTCTTCAGTGCCCACCTGTTTTTTAATGGTCGTTTCCTCATTTTGGCAGAGAAGCTTGTAAATAGTTACAAATAAGCCCAGAAACATTCAAATAACTTGGAAAAACATGCAATCAAACGAAACCCTTTTTTAAAACTTAGCAGTTTAATCGGTAATTTATAGCATTTTTAGCTTGAGCTTGTTTTGTCTGTTAAGTCAAACTATGACATTGTATGCTTGTCAAGAAATTATCGGCACGAAAACATCAGATGAAGTAAACAGGAATAATTCAATAGCTTTAGAGATTTCTATTTAACTGAGGTATTCACCTGGTTTGGCTTTGAGCCAGAGTCGATTGGCAAGCGAACATACATCCAATGTCCAGCTTTTCCTTGATGAGAGTCTGAACTCCACAAATTGGCTTTAGTTTCATTGATTATTAAATACACCTGAAGAGAACTGGATCCAGTGGTTCCTGTATGATACCAGAACTGCATACAGTTCCAACCTGCTTCAGGCAAAATGCGTCGACTTTTCAATGTCCCATAGCACCCCGATTCTTTGTACGTGTTGGAACAATCTTGCAAATATGTAAATCCTCCTGCAGAATATCACATTTAAGGAATTTACAGCGAAATCCTCTATTTGCTTTATTAAAACAAAAGGGGAAAATATACGTACCCAGGGTGTTTGGCCAATTCTTTTCCGAAAATTTCAAAGGGGAAAGTTTGCTCATTCGCCAGTTGTCACTCGGCTTCCAAGCGCAATGATCCAGCTCAAACAGACATCCCGGAAGCTCTGTTAAATACAGCAGTTGAAGAGGAGAATAAACCGGTAAAGTGAACACATTCGTTTAACCCGTGTCTTCGGACATAGGTAGTTTAAATCGATCACGACGAGGACCTTTTCAAAGTCTCCGGAGACAACATAGATATGACACTGTTCCAAAAAATGATACTTGAAAATTTAGTGAATTCACCATTTTCGCACTGCTCATAATGTGCTCTGTTTGCTCCCGAAAATCTTGCGTACGCATTCTTCTTTCGGGACAGTTGCACTGCCCCAATGAAATTGATAACAATGATTAGGAAAAACTCTAGGGTAGGGAGGGGAGGGCGTTGAGGTGCAAACACTGCGTACTATGGGCAATGCGAAAATGTCTATGGGCAATGCGAAAGTGTGAAAAGTACTATCATGCCATTTACATATCATTCGCGCTTTTAACTTTTTTCAAGCTCGACTGTACCAGGTACAAGCCCTAATTGAGGCTTTCTTCTTTAGCCAGACGTTAAATAGAATTTGAAAGAAGTTTCGTAATGGTAGACTAACCACTCCCCGTTATGATGTCACACATATTTTCGCCAAGTAAGAACAGATCATCAACGGCAATGTCTCCGTAAATTCCACCACCAACCGCAACACCCTCTACGATGACCTGGAAAGAGGAATCAGACGAGTTACTTTAAAGGGTGCCATATCTCAGTTGAACGAACATATTACTCAACAACGAGATCCGTTCTCGCTTACAAAGGATTTGCCATTTTCTAAGTTAAATTGAGTGACGAAAGCTCACTTGCATTCCTACGCACTGACTCATAAATTTCGATTCAAAATTATAGTAGTCATCCAGGGGAGAATCAATCAATTTGTGACTGAACTATCTGCCCTCGGTTTCTTTGAATAGCGCTGCGTATTATGAACGAGAACTATATTTATTTAATTTATATCATGAATCTACAGCAGCAACAACGACAACGTCTGACTAGCCCTCTCATTTTTCGATTGTCAAATCTCAGTAATAAAAGATCATCATTAGTACGGATAGCAATTTTTAGAACAGTTATTAAGTTATTTGTTGCAAAATCACCCCTACCTTGTAGCTTTTCGAGTCGCCTTTGTATCCAACTTGTCCAAATTTCCATTTGTCACCTTGTGCACCAGTCGTATTCCAAACTAGCGTTTTTGTTTCATTTGTTTGAATGTAGACTTTCAAGCTCCCGATATCTTTTCCTTTCATGTGATACCAAAACTGCAAACAAATATGTTTACCAGGACCAACTGTACGGCTGGCCAGAATGGCTCCCTCGCGTGCCTTCTGCTCCGATGCTTCCAGAAATAGGTATTTTCCTTGATAGATAGGTAAATAAATACAGACAAAGGAATAGCAGAAGTAAATACATAAATAAACTTAGAAAGAACAAAAGACTTAGAGTCAAACAAAGTGCATCAGAAATCTTATCAAAGCTTTTGGTCTTTTACACGTTGTCATAATAAGAACGTTTAGTTTCGAACAGCTGTCAAGTTCAGTTGATGTATCAGCCCATCATTTAAGAGCTATTCGTTTCTCTTAGCATTTTCTTTATTGCGTTGTTTCTACTATTGTTATAACTATTTTAATTTTCTTTTTAAATATAAACTTAGTGCAGCTTGCTGTTCATGGGATAGTTTGAAACACTTGGTGGCGCCTTTCCAAAAGGGAAAACGAAGAGAAAACTGAAATACTTGAGACTTAGTATCACTCAAACCAACCTTCAGGTCCAAGTGTGGTGTGATCATAATCCGGGCCAGTTTTCTCCGTACGTGTTAAGCCAGATCCAATGCGCCAACGACCCTGTTCCATCCCGCATAGCCCATCCTCAAAATCGCATTTAACTAACACAATGCACAAGAAAGACTTCGTAAGTAGAGAGCAATGTCATTCCTGTTGTCGGCAAGAAATGATAAATCATAGAAAGGTAGTGTTGATTTGTATTATATTACGCCTAGATACATGTAGGATATCTGGATTACTCAGATCTCATCAATTTACCTGCTGCTTATTGGCAGAAATACCTTATTCACGTTATGAACAAAACGAATTTTAGAGAATTAATTGGGTTCATTTCTCAGTATGGAAAGCTTTTGCACTTGCCTTTCATAATAATTTAATTTTGAGCGACTGTTTCACTGTTACAGGTAAAAAATCGTCTTCATTTTTCAAAAAATATAAAATGACAAGATTCTTACTTCCATACCTTTGTTTCCAACACACTGGTAAAAGTTTGACGAATTGGTATAATTAAACAAATCACACCTCAGATTAAGCAATGGACAGTGCGAAGACCCTGAAGAAACAAAAGTACTGTCTAATGAATTCATTAGTTGATTATTATGCATAGTGTCGTTTATTATTACAATTTTAATTAACTTTAATATATTTATTTATTGTTTATTTTATTATTCGTTCATTTATTTTGCTGCATATTAAACATTTAAACGGATTTTGATATTTGATTTATTTGGTTTCTTTGTACCTTTCCCTTGATTGTGTAATATACGTTATCTCGCGCTTATTAAAAACGTTAATTTTAAATTGTTATCACGTCGGTAACGTCACATACAATTGCATCATGCATCACCGTATATTGGTAGATTACTTGTAGCTGAAGATGATCATAGATCGATAGAAACATCAGATATCAAACAGTGTCGTTTCTATATCATTTAACATTCTGGGACTGACCACTAGTTTAGCAAGGAAATTATAGCGGTACCCGCTAGTAGGTATTGGTATGTAGCTACGAATTTGGTGGCAACAGCTATTCTATTCGGATTCTGCCCAGATCTGAAAACAAACCCCGGTATTGGCAGCAGCTTTCTTTCTGAGGTTAGTCAAAACATTTACCTACGCACTAATCTGTGCATTGCCATGAATATAAATAAAAAGAATGACCTTTTGTGCTAAAATATTGAAAAGTTTACCGCTCGATCACACTCTGTGAAAACACCTTTAACGCTATAGATTCAGACGTGTAGACATCTACACCAAGTTTACTCATGTATCGCCGATAAAACGTTTACTAGCTAAATTATACTAATCTGAAAGACAAAGTGCTGGCTACTTTAATGTGCAGCAAAAAGAGCCATCAAAGTCGAATCAAAGAAAAGTACATGTAACAAATGCGAAATTACCACATATAGATGGCTCATCTGTTCCATCCTCACAGTTCGTATGTCCATCGCACGTGCGAGACCATGGTACGCAACCACCTCCAGCGCATGAAAGAGTATCTTCTGAGCAGCTTTGCCCTATATTAATGAGACCCTAAAGTAACAAATCTGATTCCGGGAAATAATTAACTTTTTGTAATCTGTTGCTTACCGCATCTTGCCTCGTCTGTTCCGTCCTTGCAGTCCTTTCTCAAGTCACATAGCTTCTCCACACCAAGACATTCTCCAGTAGGACACTCAAATTCAGTTGTGAGGCATTTACAGTTTTTCTCGTCTGATTCGTCTCCGCAAGCATTGTCTCCATCGCATACTAGGTCTTTGCTTACGCATTTTCCATTGTCGCACTGAAAACTACTTTTGCCGTCGCACACGAATCCTAAAAAAATGACGTTATAGTGACAGTCCGTGAAGCTCCTCGAAGTAAAAAAGCCGCCTCTATTATTTGCATATTTCAATCACTCATTTGTTCATATAAGTGCACAGACTTTGCGTCGCCGGACAGCTTAATGTACCCAGATGGTTTTAAGAATCCCATTAATGGACAAAAGTGATGACTATTAGAACAGAATACGTACCTGGTAAACTATGAGGCGGTAGTTGCTTACACTGTTTTGTAGTAATACTAATGTTTTTAACTGCCCCACGATTAAAACCAGACGGCTGTTTTCCGATAGCAACAATAAGAACCTACAAAATTACAAAATATATAGAAGGCATGATTAAATAAATCAATCTTAATCAATCTTTAATCTTAAATAAATCAATCTTACAACCAAATGAAAAGATAGATTATGCTACTCCAAGGACATCATACCTTAAAATCCTCACTTGGTTTGAATGACACTTGGCCTGTCAGCCAAGTTTGGCCCTGGTAACCATGGAGACTCCACAAAGAGACATTTTTTGATGATGTCAGCAGTTTAAAAGTTACTGATGATCCAGAATGAGCGGAAAAAAGATAAGAGAAGGACAGGCACAACCCAGTTTTTTCATAAGTAATATTTTTTGAAATCCATGGGCTCTCTAGAACACCAACTTTGTCGTCAAAACGGGCCACAACTCCTGAATTCACATAAAATAACACATCAATTAATTCCCACTGTCTTTATTATAAAGTTCAAAGAATACCCCCAAAAAACAACATAACATATTTTTTTCCGAAACAAGGCTTGGTGACGACCAAAATAATAAGAAACCGCTGGGATAAAGGGCCTGTGGCAGCCAAGCGTTTGCTGTCAGCTCTTCCTATCATTGCGTAGCAATGTGACGAAGAACTCTGCAGCGTCAAAATTATGTTTTCCTTCCGCAGTCACCAACTACATCGCGCAAGGTATTATTCGCAAAATGGTACCCTGTGAGTTGACATGCGTATAACAAATTGCTTAAGATGGTTTACAACTTGGATAACTAAAGTTTACTCTACAGCTTCCAATACAATATGCACCGTTAATATCGTAGATTGCAATTGCTGAGTGCAAGCCTATTCGTCTTTAAAGGGATAGTGTCCCGACCATGCGCACGCTCGAGCGTTATCTGTTATTTCTTAAAAAGACAATAGAACTGTCATATTGATGCTACAACATTTCCTTCCGGACCGTACCGCCGACGGAGATTTGTTGCTTACATTCTGAAGTAATATTTTTGACTTTTGAGGAAATCTTGCGTCATGTTAAAGTTTGGCTCGCGGTACGAAGACTTATCGCGTTCTTGTCGGTAGCTCTGCTGCCTCGTGACCCGAAAAGCTCGTTCCGCTTGCTTTGAAAACAGCTTTTCTGCTGTGAAACTCGATCGTATCAGATCCCAATTTGTGGCGAGTCCAAGCTCAGAGGCTCGAAAGATATGAAGAAAAATGCAATCTCAACGCGACGAAGCCTCTCGAAGGTTATTCAAACATTATATTATAATTTCATTGCACTCGTTTCTCTAAGCATGTAGTGCCTGTTTGTTTGACTTTGTCGGCCGTAGGGAAGTTTATTTAAAAGTTTACTAACACGTCGTTGCAAACCGTGCTTGACGGAGTTCAATTCCACAAGATCTCCTCTGTCACATCCATGTCTTAATGGTTTCTTTCTTACATAGTGATTATTGTGGCTGTTCCATTTCTGCGTATTCCTTTCACGATCATCTGACCTTGTATGGAAGCTAGCGGGAGAAATAAGCCTTAAACTGGCATTAATGCGCTTGCCAACAGCAATGAAAGTAACGCCAAAAAATCCCGATTTCGCCCAAATCGAAACTTAACGGAAACAATATATCATTGATCTGCATGTAACTCTGAGAATTTTTAGTGTAGCATCGAACTCGGCCGAGCGCGATGCAAATGGATTTTCAACGTCCTCTTACTCTCCTCGCATCTTTTAAATTTCGCTACATCCCGTCAGAAAATCAAAGTTTGGCACATGCGCAGTAACAGGATGCTGTTAGTTTAAGCCCCCCTCAATTGTTGGAGCTACATTCAGGTGTCATTACATCATATTTCGGTCGAGACCAAAGGCTCATGTACATGGGTTATTATAGAGTCAACAATACAAACCTTTGCCAGAGGGTGAAAGTGTCCAACCATTATCTTTACTGTTCCACGAACAAAGGTCAGAAGTGAAGCTGCAACCCTCTACTAGGATAGCTAATAAAAAGAATAAAAGTGAAATCTTGTACTGGATAATGAATACTTCAAGTGAACAAGAATATTTTTACATACAGCCGGGACTGTCATACCTGAGATATGAACTTCGTTAATTTGCCTTGAAACCTCTGTCGTATATAACAAGGAATCGACCAGGTCATACGTTACCTAACACATGACGATACACAGTGTTATTTGTAAGGCAAATACTTGGTAAAAACATAATCATTTAATTATAAAATGAATACGAGAAATTCAAACTTCTTACATTAATTTGGTATGTTCCTTCCTGTTGAAAGGTGTCGAAACTACAGTTGAAATAGCGTTCTTGACAATCCATCACTAAGCCATCATGAACTAAAATCCTTTGCGCACCAAATGTTAAATGTAAGCGAGTGGGACATCCAGAGCGGTACAATCCACGGAAGCAATATTTGTAAAACGCTATATGGTTGAAGAAGAGAAAATGACTCGACAGTCTAAGCAGGTTAATTAAGATCAAGCAGGCGCATTGTCTGAAAATTTTTATTTGTTACAAAAAAAAATTCTATTCTTTAAATTTGTAGTTATTAGTGCTATGGCAGCTTTGGAGTTCAAATTATGGTTAATGGTTTTCCACTAATAAAACAAAATGTTTGGTACTGGCACAAATATGGAACTTCTTTCACATACGAGTAATTTTGGATAAGCAAATCATGCCACCTAAAATACCTTGAATTAGAAGTTTTTCACCGGTCTTGAGGGTGAACTTTTTAGGAATAGACGTTATGTCAAAGTTTATGTATCCAACACCTGTAGGAATTGCAAATTATAACGACAATATATAAGACAGATTTCAAATCCTTCATAATCTGCATAGAAGGAAAATCGATGTTTTCCAAATAAGAATTTCGGTAAAGACAACTATTTATCCGATAGGTAAGACTTGTCCCTTGCACCACTTGTCATGATCCGTTTTAAAGGCCATAAAGAACTTTGACAACTAATTTGTGAAGAGGGAAGGATCTTTCAAACCATACCCGAATGAGAAAGTTTCACTCAAACTAGCCAGAAAAAAAAACAGGTTAAGTTGACCGGAAATTTTCAACGAAAACGTTGTTCTTAAGTTACTTTCAAAGAACTTTACAATCCTCAGAATTTTGACGGAACCTTTCCGGCTAAAATGACGCTAATATTACATACCCAACAAAAGGAAAATCCTGGGAAGAAAAAACAAAAAAGGGGTAAGGAGAGAAAGCGAAAGGTAAAAGTCTAGGGAACAAGGGAGCGCTGGGCAATGCAGGCGTCAGTAAACAGCAACTAGTCTCCGCTTGAGAGAAACAGTTCCTGAGAAAACATGTGCAGACAGACAATTTTAACGCCTATGAAGGGTGTCTTCGTTCAGTAGCATCAGCTACATTCAGTTATTTACCTGGCTTCACCCAAAATATGTGAGCTGCAGTTATTAGGCCTTTGTATGTCCCATTTGGTAGCTTCATTCTTACGGAGGCACAATCACTTCCTCCTGATTGCTTTATTAGTAGCTCCACAGAGTACAAGTGGCACTTCCTTAACCATATCTCTTTGGATATCTGGAGAGAGGGAAATCTAAAGAAACGTACACAAAAACGAGTGCGGGTGATAATTTTACTCATAAAAAAATAAATAAAAACGTGCATGCATACACACAAAACGATACACTGTGTTTGACTTTTCATAGCTAAAAGTTTATTCTCATGAGGTAATGGTTTTAGGATATCTAGGAAATACGTTGGTCCTAAGGAACCAAATTCAAATGTTAATTAGTGTGTTTTGTTAAGGCAAAGCAAATAAAATTTTTAGTCTGGTATTTCCTGCGCTTAGTGATTCATTAGTTGTATTATCGCTCAGTTTCAAAAAGTAAAACCAAAATTTGACTCGCTTTAATTCAGCCAAAAACGAATTGTTTTTTTAGGCTCGGTAGATAAACACTTTTGCACTGATCGCAGTCTAAGCGCTAAGAACAGCGATGTATAAGCGCTATGTAAATTCCATTATTATTATTATTAGTCTAAAGTGGATAAAGGGAAGTGCGACGAAGCGCCGTTTAGTTTTCAGGAGAAAATAACCTTTTTTATCAAATGACAATGTATTCTTACTTGTCCCATTGATTGTGGTCTGTCCAAAAGTCCAGTTTTATGAGACCTAGTTTGTCTGATGCTTCGTTTTCCTTTATTTTTTCAACGAGCTCTACCCTCTCTGGTTGTAACCAAAGCTCGCAATTGTCATCGCGTGCGACAAAGAAGGTGTAGTTACCGCTTTCAGGTACCTTACGCGAGACAAAAAGAACAACAAATAAAATTAGTGACATGAGTGGTATGAGTTACTATACCTGTCACAGAATGCGCAAGGGATGTCAGCAACGGGTGCATTTTACATGAAAAGGGAAATATTAAAGGGAAAGAAATATTTGGGTTGGCATATAGAAAATGGTTGGAAAACACACACAAACGCCCAGAAAATAAAAAAAAAGGATCCCTGCAATCCTTTTAGGATTCTTGGTCAAAATTCTTTACCTCTTTTTGTACAACACCTTAAAGTTCGTATATATAAGCATAATATGAGACCAAATTTTACAGGAAAAATAATATTAGAACTAGGTACCTGCAAATACCCTGTCAGACGTTGTCCATAATTTGCATGGAAGTTGGAGGGGGAGTCAAACTGTCGGAGAATGTTGACAACATCTGGATCAGTGCTAGGAAGCCTGTTGTGTGCCCGCAAACTCGTTATCGTACCAAAAGGAATATTGTACCAAAGTTCTTGAAGAACGCCACGAACACTCTCTTCGCTTTCTGTGTATTTAATAATGGTCGAATATATTTGTCAATACCAAGAAAAGCAAAAACGTGTATGCTTTTTAGAAGCAATGGTCATAAAAATAGTCGCAATTTTTCGTGTGTGCGTCATTATTTCTTCTGTTCACATCAAGGTTGAACACTCTATCTTGCGCGCTCCAAAGTCAACATCAAGATCTCATTTCTTATGCACAACATGGGCGCCAGCATGTCCAAACAGTGAGAGCGTGTCAAATTTGCAACGTGGAGATCTTTTAAGAGAATGTCCCTTTGGATTATTTGGCTTTCAATTTGATGAATGAAAAACAACTATCTTTTTCGAGGAATTTAGTTTACATTATCAATGTGAATGGAGCAAAAAACGTTAACAGTTCTCACCTATTGTCGTTATCATCACCTCACACAGGCTTAAACCTTCCCCACCGTCTTCATAGATAGTTACATTTGAAGCAGAAATCAACGGCTCACAGATCATCAGTGTTTTTTGTCTGTCCTTCCAGGAGTAAACTTTACAGTTTGCTTTTTCGGTTTCCACACTGTTCCTTAAAATGACATTATATTTGGTCATTTCTGCAAGGCAGCACCCCAGGCTGTTAATGATCCGGATTTTGCTGATAAATGCTGGTCTTTGCAAAATTACGGCCCACCAGACTGGCTGACCCTATGGTAAAGAAAGTTACAGCAAGACCGTACAGTCAGTATTTGTTGTGGTTCAATTTATTCTAAGTTGAACCTCTTCGTTTTTAGTTTCAAACTGGATACCACGTATTACCATATTCAAAAACAAAGGGAATTAAAATTTAAGTCAAGTGCAAACTGAAACCACAGCATTTATTTGGTAAAAGGGTAGGGAACGTTTCTAGAATGGGCCAGCTTAAATCAAACATATTATATGGCAGGCATCTTGAAAACTAGCAACTCATTTACAAATATAGACAATTTAACTACGAACAAAGCTAGTTCATGATCGGCATTTCATAAGCTAGGCGGGGTACAACTGAAATGGATTGTTACCGCAAAACACTTACCCGTTGCCCTTTAACTGTGAAACAAGAAGCAGCGTTACCGTCGATGGCATGGAAGGGCTCACCGCTGCCGTTGGCCTGGGATGAATGGATGGATTGCCAACCGACCAAAAATCTTCCTAAGCATTATTGAATAATAATAAGAGCAAAATTAAAGAATCATCTTCAAGAAAAGTTTCCAAAATTTGTCTTGTGATCTTCTATGGATCTAAGACAAACGTTTTACCAAAAAAACTGGATATCAAATTACCATAATGAAGGACTTACGTTCATCTGTTTCACAGATCGTGAATCCAACTGGATACCGACCAGAACAAGACACCGGAATAAGCTTCCATTCAAGTGAAAACCACCATTTAACTAGCAAGCCACACTCTCTACTCCCTGACAAAATATCGGGATACCCAAAACGCCAAATGCTAGCTGAAATATTGCTGCCGTCTAACCAATGCCATGTGCCAAACTTGCGAATACCAACAAATGCTTTGATGTTGTCATCTGGGTACTTATTGGATATGTTAGTGAGATGTTCTGAGATAATTTTTCTTTTAATTTCAGATTCAACGACGGCAAGGTCGCCTCCTAGTCGTTTGCACGACACACGAGCCGAGTTCCATTCTCTGGCAAAGGAAGTCCCCACAAATACTCGAAAACATGAATCATTCACCACGAACCAACCGGAATCACACGTTGACCCTGTGAAACCAATCACCAATGTAACGTTTATACTGAGTGAGTCTTATGCCAAAAGATAAAAGTCAACCTGATTCAATGATGCTTGCGGTCAATAGATATTTGAAAACCAACCTTAAACGAAATTTGTAGTCGTTTGAGTGAAAAGGTGTCAAAAGGCAGGTTTCTTAAGCCCGAGAAGCTCCAATATCACAGTAACGAAGGAAGATGAAAGGAGAAAAAGAAAAAGCGAAGAGAAGGAAATGAGGAGAAGAGAAAAAAACACTCTTAGTTTTTATAATAGCTACTGTGGAGATAGTTTTTGGCCGAAAAACCGTTGGACGCCAAAGCTCCATTTGGCGATAACGTTTTGAAAAGTCCGGCTAGATATATAGATGAATTTTCGAACTCTTAGTTTTTATAATTATACTCTTAGTTTTTACAATAGCTTATAATAGCTACTGTGGAGATAGTTTTTGGCCGAAAAAACTGTTGGACGCCAAAGCTCCATTTGGCGACAACGTCTTGAAAAGTCCGCCTAGATAAATAGATGAATTTTTGAAAACATTACCGCCAAATAGATCTTTTCCGTTAGGCGGTTTTTTTCTTCGTTGAAAAAGGTCTCCAGAATAGCTAATATAAAAACTAAGGGTGCAACCATTGCTTTTTTTCATTCTTCTCCCTTTTCGCTCCGCCGGACTCCACAACCTGGTTGAGGTCATTGTTATCTAAGGTCTTCCCCATTTTTCCTTTCCTTTTCCTTTGTTAGTGTGATTTCCTAGATTATCGGACGCAAAAAAACCAGCCTTTTGGCCCTCTTCCACTCAAAGGGCTGCCAAATTGGATACGTCCTTTTTTAAAAAAATCTGTATTTATAGTATTTATAAAGATTAAGTACTAACTAAAATTTATTATCCTCTTCTCCTGATTTAATATCACTTAAAAACTCCTTGTAAATCAAATGCATGTACAATGAATTTAAATCTATTACCTGAGATGTTCTTAGGCTTTTGGCAGACAAATCCTTCTTTTGATAAGCAGTTTTTGTCGTTGATTCTCCAGCCTTTAGAATTCCACTTCTCTTCGAAAATCAGGTCAGTGCACCAACCATCACCTGAAGGTTGAAAGGATCCCCATGGTAACGACCGAGCTGAAAGCAGTTGTTTTCGGACAGTAATCCAGCGCCCGTCACTGACAACATGAGCCCCGACGAAAAAGAAACGACTAAAGTACGTTAAGTCCTCCACATAGTCCTCGATGAATCTTGAATAGGCACGCAGTTTGACGTCATTACCAAGAACAGCGAGTCTTCCTCCAAGGTTTTGACACTTGAACATGGCGTCTTTCCACGTTTCGTAACTAAATTTTATGTGTATTCGAAAACATGATTCGCCCAAATTAAACCAGCCAAGTGGGCATGCATTTTGTTCTGAAATTGGAAAAAACAACAACAACAATCCATACACAGTTTCTGAACAACTGACCAAAGCTTCAGGTTTTACTTGAATAATGATTCACATTTTTTTTTTTCATTTTAACCTGAATAACTAGATATCTCGTTACCGGCCGGCAGTGGTATTAACCTTACTGTTAAAAGAAAACTAGCCGTCGTATTATATTTGGAAAAAGATGGGTTTTATGCCTAAGTCACAGACAACTTAGTATAAGTTCACTTATTCACTTACGGTCTAATGACACATTTGCAAAGAAATACTCAGTAACTGTCTGACCACAGCAGTTATGGTATTCCTCTAAGGCAATCCCGTAAGGTAGTGTTTCTCCTCGGTTCAGAAGCAACAACTTTTTGTAATGTGGCTGATATGTCCTTGAGGAAAAGAAGAAGTCTCGAGGGAAGCAACTGAGGTCGTCTAATGAAAGCTCTTGGGTGACGCTTTTTGCACAATGGACAGTGTTTGCTCTGTACACAAAGTACATCACATCGGCGGAACTGTTTCTTGTTTGAAGAGCATGCACTGTAAACTGATAGGACCATCCACTGTGAACTGGAATTCTGTCCAATTTGAAGTCTGTAGCATCTTTCTTTATGAAGGCGTATAACGACTGGGTAACTTGAAACAAAGGAAAACAGGTTACAAATGTCGTTTGAAATACGTTTTATGAGTTTGATCCACCTTTGAGTGTCAGCTTGTTGTGATATTTCAAAAATGCAGTGATAAATACTCGTGTACATACCAAGTCGTTCACAGGATCCATTTGTGAATGCGATGTTATCTATGGCTACATCACTGGTAAAGGAAACGCCCCTTATTCCCTCCATTATAATCTATAAAGATTAAACCCTTAAAGTTAGTTACTAGGCATATTCTAGTACGCTTGTCGGTAACTTACATCAATTAGGCTAAAAAACGCTGACGGAAAAACAATGCAGCATCATACTGACCCGAGCACCCCATTGTGGGAGTAACTGCTAAACCATACTTATTTCTGATTGCGTTAATGCAGTTACGTATGTTGCCAAATCAGCAGTGAGATCCTGGTTATCAGAATCCTTTAACAAAAACCTGCATTAGTGACGTCACGTGTTGCGCTTTACCGTCATTCAAATAGTAGACAAATAATAGCACGCTTATAACTGAGTAATAACTATAAAGTCAAAAAACATTGTGCCCATATTTAACGAAAACTGGATAATCTTAATTATGCACCTGTCAATTCCAGCTGCGCCCTGCCCCCCCCCCCCTCCGGGCTGACCCCCCGGCAATAGCATGTTTTCGGCCTTACATGGCCAATTCCCGGGGGTGGGGACTCTTGAGCTGTCAAATCCCCCGGGGTGGGGACGAAAAAAGAGGGCAAATGCCCCGTCCTCCGTCAACACTGCAACATTTTTCATTGATCGCACAGTCGAGTAGGACCATTTCATACATTTTAATATGCGATTTTTTGTTTCAATTAACGACTTCCTTTGTAATAATGCTATTCTAATTAAGACTCCATGCCGTGATGACACCAGTTCATGGTTTTAGTATTGTTACAAAATCATTGACATTAAAATTAATAGTGTGCTGTAAAGTTAACTGCTATGAACAGTTTTATAAATATCAAAGGATGTTCTTCAAATACTATCAAGAAACAAGATTCAATAACCAAAACAACTTCACTTGATTCACGTCAATAGCTCCCGAGTTCCGCTATGTAAGTCTGGCTTGATAAGCAATGAAGAAATGCATGCATAAAATCGAGAATATGCCTTTACAAACCTCTTCAATTTTTGCCCATCCTTGACAAATGAGCCAATCTGCTTGTTTTTCCAGTAAAATCCTCTGTGTAGTTATATGCTGATAGGAAACTGCGTGCGTGTCAAAAGCTCGGGATTGGCCCCGAGGTTGGCAAATTCTCGGCCCCCGGGAAGCGCAAAATTTGCAAATGCTCCACCCCCGGGACTGAAAATGCCCTGCGGAGTTTCAATGATCAGTTTTCTAACGGTTTTGTTGCAAGGTGTTTTCCTAGTTCGTATATCCTCTAATGTAGCTTAATGTACTCCTGCTTGTGCAAAGATGGTCGAGAGAATCAAGACGTTTTATCTAAAAGCCAGTTAAGGTAGTAGTTTGACTCTCAATCTCTTCTTTTATTTTACTTTACTTTGTTAACAGATTCTGCATCAATATGGCGCGAGCGAAGAAAAAAAAAATAGATTAGGTTATAGCCCGCTTTTTCAATTCATCAGTCAGATGTATTACCTGGTAGTGAGCTGAGGAATTGAGGAATATAACAGCTTCTAGCCATTGATTGGGGTGTTTGCCTGATTTAATCCATTCCACTGTTTCACTGCTGTTTGTTTTCATGTAGATCACCAAGCTTCCCATGAACCTTCCATACATATGATACATAAATGACATGCACTTTGCACCTTGCGTTATAGGACTTAAAAGCCTCACGTTGTCACCATGTCGCCGCGGATACGATGCTTCAAGATATGCATACTTTCCATTTCCTGGGGATATTGGAACAAAATATTCACTGACCTGACGCTTTCGATTACTGTCTATATATCCATTGAGTTTAGTTATTTTTAGAATACCAAGGAATCACAAAATTACGATTCCGGGATTCTTGTGTGATACAGTTTTTAACTTTTAAAGAAATGAAGTCACTGTAGCTGCCTTTATGTTAACGTAGTGAAAAGTGATGGCGAGTTAGTCTTATTTCTCTCAGTATTATAATTGCACACTTTGTTGTTTAATTTGGCTGTAGAGAATGGCTCTAGAATTACTGTAGTCCAATAAAATGAGTCACTGTTAAAAAATAACTACCTTAATATATACTGAATATAAAAATCGGTCTCCCTTAAAATTCAAATGAACGTTACAAACTGTTAAACGTAATAAGAAGCAGATTTTGAAATAAAGAAAATACCTGAAACATCAGAACGAGGACCTGTTCTCCAGCTTCGTGTTTGCCCCGAATTTAAAGTCCAGTTAAACTTCGCTTTTCCAGAGTTTTCATTTGCCCATCCGCAAAACGTGGAGTTGTCAAAATCGCAGTCTAGAACTTGACACAACCCAAATAAGATCGAAATTAAACCCCAAAATAGTGAATACCACGCAATAACCCGCTATAAACAAACTGATGCAAACCCCTTTATTCTCATCCAAAGTTAAGGAGGATCGAGCAACATTCCTGCTCAACAAAGTTTTCGACGTCTTTAAGTTTTTGCCTTATTTATCCAATTTTGTTGGGCAAGTTGGGTTCTACATATTGCAGAACCAAAAAAGTGCAAAGACAGAGTTGAGAAGGTTTAAATAACACCTCGCTTACCTCGCACGACATCTCTTTCAAACATTGTGGGTTTTGATTGGTCCTTGATTATATGAGACCAGAAACTCATAAGGGCTTGAACCCCTTATGAGTTTCTGATGAGACAAATAAACGTTTTAAAAAAATGGTGGAAATCATGTTAAAATAGGTCAAAAAATGTGGCATAGCAGCGGGATCCTCAAAGTACTACAATAGGAGTGTGCTAAGCTCATTCCTCGCGATAGTTTATAATTTTGTCGGAATTTGCAACGCGCGTGACTCCCACGAGGATTGCAAGCCTAGCGACAGTTTTATTCATTGCTTAATATTCTCTTTGCTATAAGTCTATGAAAAATAAAATCGAGTTTGGATGGTGTCCTCCTTGACGTCATCCAGAGTGACGTCAACACACACTTGTTAACACAAAACCTGGGGGGAAAATTGGTTATATTTGAGGCCCTATTTAAAAGCCTTCTCTGTTTTCAATATTCTTGAAACTTGCAGGGTATATTTATTGGCAATTGAGCTCGGGATTGTCAAATTTATAAAAAAATTTATCGAGCGGTTTTTTGAAAAATGCGAAAATTGTAGGCATGGACCAAATTACGTGCAAAAACTGTAACAAAAGCGGCGAAATGCAAGTTACTAAAATTCTTCTTACTCGCGATCGCCCAGAGCAATTCCCCTCTTTTCTTGTACGCAGTTTTTAATGAAATCAAACTACTATAAGATGAAGCCGCGTTTCCAAAGCTTATCATTTTCTTAAAAAATTAGCTAATTGTGTGGATAGCATGCTATTTCACCGTTTTTATGATGCTTAAAACTTCTTTTCAAAATATTTCGAAAACGCTCTCATAGAATTTGTTCAAACTTTGATATGATTATGGCAGGTATAAACTCCCTCAACCGATTTCTTAAAAAAACTCTTGGTACAGAGAAACACAAAAATAAATAAAAAACGTAATGGGGTTGTTACGTTGCCATGGTGACTCCGATTGCAATAACACCCAAATCTTAAGAAATTTTCATCTTTATATAATACAGTTGTGGTAATCTTTTTCCCATATCGTTACCCACGGCGACGTAGTTAATGCTTAAACTTGGAAGGTATCCCCACAAAAAATCCAGTCGGGCCACCTTAAGAGAAACTGGAAGCGATTTGGATCATTCACATTTTTTAGCAACTAAGATAATTTGCAGTCTGTCTACTTTGAATTAAGATATAAGCGAAAATTGAGGTAACATAACACAAGTTTTGTTCGCAGACGAGTTTATACCGTATCGGCTTAGTTGGGCATTTGTTCTTTAAATGCGATGAAATGCGTTTATAAGTTGGGTTTTTTTACTGTCAAAACACCAGTCATTCTCCTGAAAAATATCTTTGAATTCGTGTTTAAAAAGGCGCACCAGTGGAAGTTCTACTGGGAAAGCTTTTAAATAAATATTATCGCCTCTCTCATAGTATTGTCCCACCTGGCGCAGTGGTAACGAAAACTGCCCGGCGCGTAGAGGGTCCTGAGTTAAATTTCGGGTGGAACCTACTTTTCTTTTTCCCTTCTTTTATTTTTTCTTGGTTTTTTTTTCTCCTTTTTATTTATTTGTTTATTTATTTTCAGTTATTTTAGTTTTTGTTTTGTTTCTTTATACAGAGTAAAATTTTTTAAATTTATAAAATTTCTTCCCGATTGCTTTATTTCCATTTCTTTTTACTTCTTGCCCTTGCCCCGAAGTGCTACGCGAGGTCCTGCGATTCAGTTATTTCTTGTTTCAGAATAAACACGTCAAACACGGCAGAATGCAATTTGCAGCTACATTTCCACAATTTCCTAAAATGCTTGAAAACCGCTTATAATTTTTAGGTTGTCAAAAAAATATCAGGGAAAAAAATATCTGGGAAATGCCTCGTGGCTGGGAAGGTGGTCTAAACCAAATAAGATATAGTCTATTATACGTGTTAAGTGCGCTTGCCTTTCAGGAAAAACGGCGAAACTCGCGCAATCTGTTATTTTTAAGTAACGTTAAAACAGGTTTACCTGGTGTAAAAACTCACCTGAGGGTGGATAAGTTGGACGTGCGGAGAATCGGTAAAGCAAAACGTTATAAAGCAGAGAAACAATAATAAGCCAGCTGTTGAACGAAGACATGCTGCTAACTTTTCCTCCTCTTTTTCTGTAGCAAGAACAGTTCAAGAAGTTCTCTCGATTGACAGGTGCCCTTACGAACTGTTGAACGGAATGTGTTCACTGACATGCAAACAGAGACAGTCTTGTATTGCATTTCGTCATGATTAGTAATGCAAATGAAGAACCCTCTGTCTGAAATTTTTAATAATTTGGAATACACGCTGTTAGACTTCCGCCGTCAAAATTGTCTAAATAAGCAATATTAGAACTCTGCTAGAAATAGAGTGGCATGGAAACTGTAAGACTTGTTCAAGCTTTCTAAGGGAGGGATGAAGAATGAAATCGACTGAGTTGTGGAATAATCATTTTAAATCTACTTAACAGAGCATTATAGTCCAAAATAAATGATACAGTTTATTGAACATAGGAGTTAGTACTGTCTCTACAAATCGGTCACAAATATATTCTAATACAAAAATAAAACAAATGAAAATTACCAAAAGGGTGCATCAATAGTGACGTTACTGACGTGTGGCAGCTGAGATGTTTGTTCTGCAAAATTTTGCCAGATTGGCTTCTGCTATGTTAACTTGAATTTACGACATGGTTCTAATTTTGGCTGTAGCTAGTATTATTTATATCAAATTATAAAGGTAAGGCTAGCTAGGGACTAGTTACTCGTCTAATATAATGGGTGACAAATTACGCCAATTGTGTATTAAACGCTCTCTCTACGATGTTAATTTTGTATTAGAAACCCTTTGTCTACAAGACGCCCCCCATGACATTTGATCAAAAAAAATAGCAATTAGCAAAAAGGAGCGAAAACATTCAATTTATTTCGCTTCTTGCTTGTTGGAAAAGGATTTGCCATGTTTGCGCATTGCATCTTTTCAATTGTCGAAAGACTAATGAGGACAAAACAAGGACCCTGAACGAGCCGGCTACTGAAAAAGTAACATGGATTTGTAGAAGGCCTAGACATATCAATTACAATACCATAATTAGCATACTGACAGAGGAACTTTGTTTTGAGGGATAGTTATTTTAAAGATCCGAATAAAAGCATCTCTGTGATAAGGCAGTCGAATTTTGTGTGGCATTTTGCAAGCACGTCGAACTGCTCAAGAAGGCACGTTGGTGTTCCGATATTGTGTTTATTTAAAAAGTGTTTGTATACGGAAGACGATTTCTGCTTGTGACCATCAATGCGCTTACGCAGACGGCGTGTATCCCACATGTAGTGATTGCTAATTATATGAGACCCGCAACTCTTTAAGAGCCGTTGTAAGTAATTATTGAGAATCCGGCGCTAGAAAAAAAAAGGATTTCCCCGAACAAGCACCTTTTGGTAAACTTTTTTTAAAACAATATTTAATAGTTCCAACGAGATCCCGTTTTTGCGAAAAAATAGGAAAGTTTAAAATCGGCGTAATCCTCGTCAAAGGCCCGATGGAAATTATGGAAATTATGGAAATTAGGGCATTTTCAAAACGCTGGTACAAAAAAACGAGAGCTTGTCACTCTAGCTATATTTCATCTTTTCACGGTCTCAAGCTATATTTTATCTTGATCTTCACTTCCTTTCTTCCATCCGAGCAAAGAAAGCAATGCAACGTTTCGTGCTTTGTTATCACCAATTTTTTTTGCCATATTTCATATTTCAGATGGTTATAACATTATGAGTCTATAAATTTAGCGGCTGTAAAAGGAATCTCTTAAAAGAACCATTCTTCCTGTTTGTCATACTAAAAAATTCGCAGCTAATCAACTGTATATCTTCTCTCTTTCTCTTTCTCTTTATTTTTTTCGGTTTGAGGTGATGTGCAATAACATTCCATAATAATTGGATGTGTCATTATACAAGAAAACTTTTCTGTCTTTTGTTTAATTTAAAGGTAGTTTAATTAAGATAAATTGGAAGGCTCACACCTGTCTAAACAAACGTAGAGGAATAAGTATAGGAATACATTACGTTCGACTTTATTCTATTTGTATTAAAATGGGTATGATCAGTTAAATTCCTTTTTTTACCATTTTTGTCTTTTGTGTTACTTGAGTTTTATTTTTTGGGCGGCAGACGTTGATCACTGGAAGTTATAATTGCCAGTCGAGGTCCTCTTTCAAACACAATATACATTTCGGAGAAGCGATTAAAAATACAAACAAACAGCGTAACATTAACCTCCATATTATTTTTCAGTGCAATTAGTGAATAACATAACACAGAAATTTGCTGGCATTTTGGGAGAGAAAGTATTTAAAGTTTATTAAACAGTTTGAACTTTCACGAAAAGTGAAGGGAAACTTCGAAAGCGACTCATCCTATCATCTTTTGAAGAAGGCACGACTGAAAATAGCGCCATACGACCGATACTATAGCTTCAGAGACATTCTCACTCAATGAATACACACACCGAAAAGGAACTCATCTTTGCATCAGATTTTAAATAAATGTAGGACTTAAATATGGGACTAATACCTCCACGCAACAACATTATTTTTCGTTATAATTCTGTCTGCGAGTTGTTTTTTTAATGAAATGACCCACCCTCCGCACCCTCCCCTCAATAATTAAAAAAAAGTGACCCATTGTAGGGGCGACGGGGAAGGAAGCGTGCTCCGTCCTCCTCCCTCCCCGAGGGTTGTCCAATACACTCGCACTTTAACGGTCCGTATAATCTACTGTTTGTTTCTTTTAATTTACACGACTCCCAACGGATTGTCTAAGAAATGAATGAAGATCTCCTGTAGGTTCGCAACTGGTGCTTCGGAAATCGGCTGCTACTGAATCCAGACAAGACAAAATTAATTGTTTTCGGGAGCCGACAGATCAGATGACCTCTAAGCTCCATGAATTTCATTTGTCTTTGTTGGGAAAGGACATCTCCCCAGTACAATTAGCGAGAGATCTTGGCGTAATTTTGGATCCGAACTTAACATTTGATAACCATATAACGACCACAGTGTTGGAATGTATCGCACGTCTAGCGCAAATTGACCTGGTCAAGCCAGCTTTTAGATAATTTTGTAAATACATCTTAGTTAAGTTTAAAAACATTGTAAATAGCTATAATTGTTTTTTGTTATTAAGTTGAGTGTTGTAATTAGTTATAATTATAAATAACGTACCCTTTTGAATAACCATTGTTCCTAAAAAGCCCCTTTGGGGAGGTAACAATAAATTATGTATGTGTGTGTACTATGTAATCCATGTTACGATCCGTACGGATCGTATGGACTGAAAAATGGCATACAGTTTGTAAAGGGCCGTTTACGGTCCGTAACCTGCATCTCATTAGTGGGGCAAGAGAGGGTATATACGGTTTGTCGATTCGTAGGGACCGTAAGGATCGCAAACTGGTATGTTTACGGTCCGTAAATTGGATGTCGTTTACTTAGTGGGACTCATTTCAACCACACACTGGACAGTGATTTCAGGTTTGTCAAAGTGTTTTTCCAGTTCTTTTATAACGGCTGGTTTTTTGGTTGCTTTACTTTTAGAATGTGTAGATTTGCTCTTTTTAGATGTCTTACTTTTCAGGTCCTGTCGCAGTGACAAACGTCTCAATTCCCTTCTGTGGTTTTAAGTCCAGTTTTCACGAATAATTCTTTGCTTTGACTTAAGAAACATAGTTGGAACCCTTTTCAGCACCGCCACCTGCACCCGCCACCTGGAAAATGCCTTCCCACGCTTCCCGTATCTTGCAACTTGAAGCCATCACTTTCATTAGAAGTGATTACATACGTTAAAAAACCAGGCAGCAATTCTTACGGAATATTGCAGCCTTTGGTTGCGTTCCTTGATAGCATTGATTCCAGTTCGTTCCTCTCAGTGCACTTGGGTTATGGCTTATAGAACGAGGAATAATACATTTGAATCGCGCTTCTTGTAGTTTATGGCTTATAGAACGAGGAATGTTACATTTGAAGCGCGCTTGTTTTGGTATATGGCCTTTTGAACGAGGAATATTACATGTGATGCACTCTTGTTGGTTTATGGCTAACAGAACGAGAAATAAAACATTTGAAACGCGCTTCTTGTGGTTTATGGCTTATAGAACGAGGAATGTTACATTTAAAGCGCGCTTGTTTTGGTATATGGCTTATAGAACCAGGAATAGTTAAAAGCGTGCTTCTTGTGATTTATAGCTTATAGAACGAGGAATGTTGCATTTGAAGCGCGCTTGTTTTGGTGTATGGCTTATAGAACGAGGAATATTACACGTGAAGCGCGTTTGTTTTGGTATTTGGCTTATAGAAAAAGGAATATTACTGTTGAAGCGTGCTTGTTTCGCTTTATGGCTAATATAACAAGGAATTTCCGATCCGTATCAATCAAGCACAGGAACCGTTTTGATCCGAGGATCGTACGAACCGTAACACACTGTGCCCTGATGTAATAATGAGATACCCGCTTCGTATGTGCTTCGTATGTTAGCAATGCTGACGGTTTGTATGGAGCGTAAACGTTTTAGCTTAAAAATGGTCATTGATTCTGAAATAGAAATGCCCTCACGCTTTTACATTGCAACTCTGTTTCAGCTTTTAAATGTAGTGAAGGACAGTTGTTTCGCCCTTGGCTGAGAGAAAAACTGTCACGGAGACAGCAAAATTTAAAAATATAGATTAATTAATGTCAAACAACGAAATGGACAAATGGAATTTGGGGTGCATGTTTATTCACGAATCACTATTTTCTGCTCTAAATCACATCAGTTCTAAATCGCGTCATTCATGATCTAAATCGCGTCATTGTGTCTTAAATCGCACTATACTTGCTCTATATTGCATGATTTCTGTTTCGTGCACAATATGAGATGAAAAAGCCTTTTGTTTGCGCTTTTCAACGAACCAGCTACTAGATCGAATAAATATTGGTACTAACTAAATTCTGCGATTTGAAAGTGGCCGTAATAACATACTAAATTGCACCCCGGTCAGTTCAATTACCATTATTAACGTCGAAAGTATGTTATAATTAAAAAATTGTCCTGCCTCTCTACGTCATGAGCATTTTT